CGTTACGGCCATTACTAAGTAAAATTAATGAATGTATTTGGACGCCAGAAAGGCAGAACGCATTTGAAAATCTGAAAAAACAAGTGTCCATCAATGTTGAACTGCGACATTTTGATATCCACAAGGATATTTGAACCGTGTGCGACGCGAGCCACAACGGTTTAGGTGCCGTACTCGAGCAATTAGGACCGGAAGGGTGGAGGCCGATTTCATTTTCCTCACGATATCTAAATGAGGCGGAGAAGAAATATTCGAAAAACGAATTAGAAATGTTGACAGTAGTGTAGGGGGGTTAATATTTCCGTAACTACGTACTGGGAAATTTTTTTATAACAGTGACAGATCACAAAGCGCTAGTCTCTCTTTTAAACGACAATAATAAGAAAAACAAGACAATTTTTAGCCGCTTAACGCGTTGGTTGGACCGATTTATCCCATTTGCTTTTCAAGTAGAACATAAACCAGGGGCAAAATATGGGCGGGCGGATTATTTATCACGAAATCCAAGTAAAGAAGCAACGCCAATTAGTACGTATGATAAGATTCTTACAGTAGCGAAAATAAACCTAATAGTACCGCTCTTGGGTTTGGTAAAAGTATTGCATCCAGCAGATCCAATACATGCAATAATATATCCAAGGGATAGCATATCAAAGCGAAAAGTAAACAATGTATAAATAGATTGAAATTTTTGTCACGAGATCAGCCGGTAGAGTGCGGGAAGTCATGCGAGCGAGAATCAACAAATCAGAATCGAACACATGGTTTAAACCAACAGCTGCGCAATTTACGCAGAAGTTTAGTCGGTGCTAATACTCAATCGAAGCAAAGTTGTTTCAAATTATCAAATTTAAAAATTCACAATTCAAAAACTCAAATAAAAAAACGGCAGAAAATCTTAAAACAACCCCCAAGCTTAGACAGTAGCAGTGACGAAAGAGAAGAATTATCACCGAGTTCAAACTTAGAAGCAATCACAAAAGAAACAAAATCAGTCAAAACAAACATTACCCTATCGTTACCATCGGCATTCAAAGACGAGACAATCCCAACAGTGGACCCAAATTCGGTATGAATGTCAATTTTACCCCATAATAACAAAAATTGTAAGTAAGATTACCTCACTTCCCGATTTGTTCAACTTAAAATTTATAGAGTCAAATGAAATTTCTGATCCCCAACATAGCGCGATTAGAGACTTAATTGCTACGAAAGACCCAAAAATCCATGACAAAGTTACCGCTATGAGCCGCTATTATTCCCAATTCGTTAATTATTTCTACGTAAAGAAAAATGCTGTTTGGATGGACGAACAAATCGTGATACCGATGAACCTCCAAATTGCAATTAACAATAGAATCCACGCTTTCCACCACGGGAAGACCAAAATATTTGATGCCGCAAAAGACGTCTGGTATCCCTACATTTACCGGTCAATAGCCTCAATAGCCGACGACTGCCCAGAATGCACCGCCGCCGGTAAGAACTTGAAACCCATTTTAAATAAGAATCAGCTTGGAAATATACCTGAACCGAAGCAACCCAACGAATCAGTTCAACTTGATTTTTGGGGCCCCAATAACTATTTAAATGATTCCCAGTTAGTGGCAGTCGATCGGTTCTCTCGTTTGCCACCGGCGATGGTCTGTGGAAACAACCGTTTTGATAAACTAATGAAGTTTTTAAAAAGTTATATAATAAACCACGGGATGCCAAGGAATATTCACGTGAACCAGAGGACGAGATTTATGTCGAACGAAATTAGAGCATTCTGTAATGGGGAGAGTATTGAAATCATAAAATCACCAGTAAATGATCAACGGGCAACTAGGTGCGTGGAGCGCATCCTTGGTAGTCTCAAAAACTAAATACTGACTTTCGCCCAAGAAAAACATCCCGAACCCTTGGAGAAAACGATCGAAAGGCTCCTTGGTGCTCTCAGTTTTTTGAAGAATTCGACACTAAAAATCTTGCCATTCGAGGCGCACCACGGTGGCGAAGCAAACACTGTCCTAAGAAATCTCACAAAAATCTCTCTCTCCAAAATCTGGATTGGTCGCGAGTAATAAAAACGAAAAATGCTTGTTAAGATGACGCCGAACCAAATGTGAGGGACATGCCACACCCTGCTGATACAAACTGGCATACGATCTCAAACATAGAAGCCACGCGCGTAAGCTGACAAATGAGCAAACGGAAAATCAGGACGACGAACCAGACAAGAGTGGACAACCGAGACCTTCTGGATGGTTATTCCAGCGAATCAGAAACCGGAATCTGAAAAGGTATAAACAACTTCATTCTAAAGTCAAAGCAGAAAGTGCTCATTCGTTAACTTTAAATCACGGGGTTGTTCTTAGAAAATCGGGGGTGGCCAAGAAGCCAAAATCGAAGAAACTATAAGCGGCCCTACCACAAGCGATCCTACCACCACCAACTCCGCGCGAAGTGAAAGAACTGGCAACAAAAAATGCAGCTAACGAAAAACAGAAGCGAAAACAAACCGGGCGGCGATTCGAAAACAGTGGTTCCGAATCGGAGGACAGTGAGGATCTACCGATTATCTCGGTCAAACGGACAGTTAAAACACCCGCGGAGGCACAAGCAGGATCAGCACAAACGAGCGAACAAGCAACAACCAATCCAGTACCAGACACCGGAAGCAATCAGGATACGATCTCGGCACTAGACGGCGAAATGGAAAGACAACCAGGGGAACCAACATCGTCGCAACCAGGGGACCAAACATTGTCGGCACCCACGGAGAAGAAGAAGAAAACAACACGAAAGCCCAGGCTGGTATCGTATAGCAGCCAAGAAGATAGTCAGGACGAGACAGCAGCGAGAAGAAGCGGGAGAAAAAGAACAGCCGTGACGAAAATGGGAGAAGTGATGATCGATTTCATCAACAGGAATGATAAAGGGGGGGGGGGAAGTAACTCAGAAACTTAAACTGAAAAACAAAACTTTTTAAAGCCCAGGGAGAGGGTTGGTCATTATTGGACTAAAAACTCAAAACTTTCATCAACACTAAGTGATCCTTTAGTTGCTGAAAATCCGTGTTTATTAAATTTGTTCAGTATTTTCAAAACGTTCCAATCAGTATTTTTTGTCATCAAAAACTTACAATCAACATCCAGTAGTCAAATTTTTCAGTCATTTAAAGTTTCATCTATTGAAGGGGAAGTGTCATATAGTGTTCATTTAGTTCAGGAGAGTCTAACTTACAGCCATCAATCAACTGTCAATCGTGGTGCTAATTAGTTTGTTAGCAGGTGCTGTCCTTGGCATAGTCTGTCACGCTTGATTGACCTCTAGTGTTACTCTTATTGTTAACTTTGTGAGATCAAGTTGCTTATCATTTGGAGTTTACATATTGAGTAATCAACCTTTTCAACAGAGGTTTGAGTCACTACTGCAACTTGTTTAATATGCTATCACTCGACCTCTTCCGACGATAGTTTGGGGCACCTAATTTTGCGCGGAGGACAAAAATAAAAGGAACTAAAACACGCGAATACAAAGTTACTCCTCAATTTTAGTGGTCAGAACAAAAAGTCAAAAAGATTTTAAAAAATCAACCTATTGTTAGTATGGAAGCACTAATCACTGTATATCCTGTTCCGAGTACAAACACAGCGGAACAAAGCGCAGCAATACTTTTGTCCAAACCAGCAATCAACTTTTTTCAATTGATTTTGGACTGTGTTGTACTAAATAATTTGTTCATATTGATGATTTTTTCCGATCTACTTAAAAATTGCCCCCCCCCCCCTTTTAAGAAAGAGGGGCAATTGTTAAGTAGAATAAAATAACGCATTTTCGACCAATCAGAATGCAGCACAATTCTAATTCTCAATAGAAAGCTAATTTACTGTTTTTATTAATAGGGGTGGCAATTCTTAAGTAGTTCCATTTTTTCGACTAATTTAAATCGGACTGTTTCGTAATCTAAAATTACTGGATCTACTAAACAACTCTTCCCATATGGTATTTACTTAAGAATCTCCACCCCTATGAATAAATACAGTACATTAGCACAAGGCTGCATTCTGATTGGTAGAAAAATCAGCATGCTTTATCTACTTAACAATCCCCCTCCCTTTCTTGAAAGGGAGAGATTGTTAAGGAAATACAAATTATCGGCCACACAGGATTTTCAGGTCGAACTTTGTTCTCTTTAAAGAAAAAGGTCGAAAAATTAGTTGCCAGTGAACTTTTGGGGAGGCGAACTCAGGTCTACGGCGTCCAAGCCTGCCCAGCTAGCTATTATCTCCACCCCTATGAATAAATACAGTACATTAGCACAAGGCTGCATTCTGATTGGTAGAAAAATCAGCATGCTTTATCTACTTAACAATCCCCCTCCCTTTCTTGAAAGGGAGAGATTGTTAAGGAAATACAAATTATCGGCCACACAGGATTTTCAGGTCGAACTTTGTTCTCTTTAAAGAAAAAGGTCGAAAAATTAGTTGCCAGTGAACTTTTGGGGAGGCGAACTCAGGTCTACGGCGTCCAAGCCTGCCCAGCTAGCTATTATCTCCACCCCTATGAATAAATACAGTACATTAGCACAAGGCTGCATTCTGATTGGTAGAAAAATCAGCATGCTTTATCTACTTAACAATCCCCCTCCCTTTCTTGAAAGGGAGAGATTGTTAAGGAAATACAAATTATCGGCCACACAGGATTTTCAGGTCGAACTTTGTTCTCTTTAAAGAAAAAGGTCGAAAAATTAGTTGCCAGTGAACTTTTGGGGAGGCGAACTCAGGTCTACGGCGTCCAAGCCTGCCCAGCTAGCTATTATAATTTTTTGCTCTCGAACTTGTACTTTACTTACATAAGCTCTTTCTTTGGCGCAGTCACAATCGGCCAAAATAAGTAGCCAGATAATCGAAGACTAACTCGCGGCTTGGTCGAAAAATGCTTGATAATTGTGTTCGACGCTCAATTTTTGACACTTTTAAGCTCTTGTAATGCGAAATTTTATTAGATCTTACCTGCAACGCAAAAACCCAAAAGCACAAAGGCATTAAGCCGCAACAGAACTTCCATGAAGCAAGCTCAAAAAATATAAGATATATTAACTTCTATATGATTTCAAGAGAAAATTTAAACGTGATTTTAACAAAACTTGATTAAGTTTTTCGTGTAGCAGTTGAAGATTAATGAATTATGTGGTTTTATAGTCCAATTATTAGTAAAATATCTTTTCTGTATTGCTGAGAGCCTTTGAGTGGGTTGAACTCAACTCAGATTTGTTTGTTCGGCAAAGTTGTTACGAAACACACCGACGAATGATTAACTTGGCAGCACTGCTTACGGTGTTAAGATTATGATGACTGATCAATCTATCATCTCGATCAGAGCTCTGTTAGTACAGAACGCAAAAGCTAACCATTTCGTTTTTTTTTTGGATTTTTCCAAACTTTTATTACACTTTTAAAAAACTTTGCAATAAATTCTTAAAAGTTTAATATTGGAGTCTTAGGCAGAAACCAGAAAGTTGCGCAGATTTCTTATAATATCAATATTAATGAAAAATAAATAATTGAGAACCGAAGAACGTGGTTGAAAAACCTAAATGAGAATACCTTGGTTGATCTTCCTATAAACTTTGGTGATCTTGATTTTTCATTTTTGATGAACTATATCGATTTCGATTCTTAAATTATTAAGTCTCAATGTTTTCAATCAGGTTTTACTTACAGTTTTTTAACAAAGATTTTTCTGGTTTTCATGTTGATTTGCCCGATTCGTTCGATCAATGTTTAACACTTGAATTTGCAGTTAACTGCATTTTCAACAATTCAATCTGAAGCCAATTCAAAGCTATTTTGACAGATGAGCGTTGACAAATTGCCTTGGAAATCGGTTTTTACAAATTGAATTTTTTAGGAAACAATTGGAAAACACAATATTTCATCATAGCAGCAATATGTTTTTTTAGGAAACAATTAGAAAACACAATATTTCATCATATTTCATTACGAAATTTTAAATTTAATTTTTTTTAAAACGAAAGCGACTACTGTAGATCTTTCAATAATATTTCAAACTATTATGTCAGTTTTATTACTTGACACAAATGTGTTTTGGTGTTTTGCTATATGGAGCAAATAATAAGCATATTTTGTTCATATAGAAAAACAGCAAATCTCAATTTGAAAAAAAAACGTTCGAATTAGGCAAAGGTAGCATTAGATATTTGAAAGATAAACTAGAAGTATTGTTAAACGCAAAAAAAACTAAAAAAAATTAACTTTTAAATTTCATGACACAAATATAGTCGTTCATCGAAAAAGGCAGATGTTTGTTGTTTTATAAAATACCTCGATGATTTTGAACAGCTGGAACCTGATCTAAACTACATTTTATTATTGGATAAAATAGATTTTTTACCACTGTAAAATATTTAATATTAACCAATCATGATCCATCCAACTAACAACCCACTTATTTGTAAGCGCTGAAATTACTTGTAATTTCAGCACCAGAGATATCTGAATTTAACTTAGAAATTAGTTACCTCTCCAAGAGAACTTCAGCTGTCAAGAGAACTCTCCAATGAATTTAGATTTTCATTTGCAAACATAAAATTTTGAAGTAAATCTTCATGATTATTTCAGGCGGTAAACAAAACTATTAATGTATAATAACGATTGATAAAAAGATCTCAGATCGTTCCCTCAATTTCTGCAGTATTATATAAAACATATTTGAAAAATATTTATTAAAAAAAAATACAAAATAGTAGCATGACAATAAATAGTTAGTAATTATAAACCATCCTGTTGTTCCAGCTTCATCACCTAAAAATAACTGCAATCATAAGCTAACTAATATCATAAAAAACTAAATCTTTTTATCAAAAAAAAATTAAACCATTTTAAATTTAAATTCACTTAACTTCAAATTAAAATCATCAAGGCTTATCCTTGGATCTTCATAAATTTTCTATCTCATTATTTTTCAAGTCTGATCATCAAGGCCTATCCTCGGATCAAAAAGAACAATTTTATTCTACCCCACCCACTTAGCAAGTGTCTAACGACCTCAAACGTCGATTCACTGTCCAACCTTTTCAAAAGACCCAGGACTAATAGAAAATTTTAAATGAAACTAACCATTCAAATTAAGCTAAACGGTGAAGAACTTCGGTTATTCATTCTTCACTTGAACCCTCCTCTTACCAGACCCAGGATAGATCTTAGACTTAGTAAGTTTAAAATAGTATCTAACGAACTACTTGCGTTCTAATTATACCTGAACCTTGTGGATCGATTTAATATTCTCCAACCCTTGAACACAATCACTACCCCTAAGTAAGATTAAGTAAGTTAACACCTTAACTTAGACTAGCCACGAGAAAATAAAAATCATTTTCCGGAATCGATATACTTTTCTCTCGAACCCTGAATAAAAGACCCAGGTTAAGCTAACCAAAAAATTGTAAGAACTAACAGTTAATTCTTATGTCATTCAAAAATTTAGGAAATAAACAAACAATAGTTTTACACAACTGTGAAATAGATAACCAAAAAGACGATCTTGTAATCACTCCACATACACAAACAGTTGGATACATTCGAACAAAACGACAAACAAAAAAAAAGAAAAATTATAAACAAACAAATGCAAATCACACGAAAAAGGTTTTCGAAAAATAGAAACGCTTTTTTTGAATCAGAAGCCAACAGTTTAGACGAACTATACTAATTAAAAGAATCAATAAATAAAAATGGCCCCATTCACGATCCATAATACTTTTCCGACTCAGAAACATTTTCAAATTCATCAAAAAGAGGAAAAAAAGAAGAATAAAAAAGCAATATAAGCAGAAACCAGTACGCCTGTATAATTGGAATCAACCAATCAGACACATTGATAGTTATATATTAACAGTCATCAAACGAAAAAATGAGCCACACTCAAAGTGACGAAAGTCCAGATGAAGAAGCAGTTTTTCTCTTTTTTATAGATTCACTCGATGATAGAGGACAAACACGATTTTGTAAGAACTTACTCGTAAATTTGTTTGAACCAGGAATCAGTCCATTCAAAGCAGAATTCCCGGATGTAAAAATCAAAAGACAAATTTTTGAACAATATTTGAGAGACATATGTAATCTAACACAACAATACGGAATCTACACCATAGAATTTAGCACACCAAATACAGCCCATCGTAAATATGTAATTCAAACAGACGATATTGAATTAGAATTTTCAAAAGTATTCATAGAATATATCAAAAGCATACAATATCATAATTCACAAAGAGCAAACTCCATATACACTAACGAAGTTTTTGCGATAAAATATACTTATATATCTGTATTAGAAAAAACAGAAGTTCAAAGTACATCACGAACTGAAACATCCAAACATACAAAAGTACGAAATGAAATCACAGTATTTTTAACATTTGTACATATAATCCGCGAGAAATTTACCAAAAAAGATGTTTCACAAAACACTAAACATGATTAACAAAAAATTTTAGCATGGTTTTCAAAAGATTATTTCACCCACAATTTAGATTTAATTTCACAAGCAAGAAAAAATTTCAGACCTCAAAATACCAATGACGGCACTGTCCTTTCAGAACAAGCAAGTTAAGTTTGGGACTCTGAATGGTCTCAACCAGCATTTCTAAATATTCCACAAGATATCTCGAGTCAAGCATTAAGTACAATATCTTTCCACAGAGATTATGTAAAAGTAATACCATTAACGATTGACGCAACACCATTAAATTATAATACTTTTTACCAGATACACGAAATAACAGCTTAAATTCAACATTCATACATAATGAAAATCTCACTGGAACCAGAAATCTTACACAACAAGATATTCAAACACCATCACACTTCATAAATGAAGAAATCGTCCAAACAACAGCAACAACTACACAACAAAGTACTTCACCAATACACCCCAATCTGACAACACCAGAAATACAAATACATCAATAACCCAGGTAACTTTACAATCAACCGTTAAACCTTCGTTTGCTCCAAAATATTCACATATGGACTATCAAACCTATAGACCAATGACAATACCTTCAAAAACGCGAAAAATGTTCACAAGAAACACTTTTGCAGAACACAATTATTATTATGCACACCAACCAAAAGCAAATCATTCTCCCCGAAAAAATACACAAAATATAAATCACGTACGTTCTCATTATTGGAATTTTTCAAAAACATCGACCAATTCAATAAATTTTCCAAATAATCCACAACCTACACAGGATTATAGTGAAAATTACCCATTTTTTCAACAGAATAAAAATAAACAACATACACCATATAACACAAACTATTTATCATCTGATGACAATAATTATCATCAACCAGACATTTTTGCGCCATATACTAAAGAATATCGCACACAGAGACCGCGACAATCTCAACCATATCAAAATATGAAGATTTATCCACAAAATCCAACAGATACACAAAATCCACAACAAATGCATATACAAAACCCATTTAACACACAATCTTTTCAACCAGTACAACCACAAAACCCAATGTTAGTGCATTCTTATCAACCAACCCAAATGTAAAATGAAATACCGCTCCCATTTACCTTCAGCAACATGAAATCACAAAAAATCAACTATCAAACTTTTCACAAATGCCAAATGCCGCAGAATCACTACAGATGACTATGAATCCATACCTCATGGGTGGATCATCAATAAAATTGAATAAACCATTAATGGTATTCACAGGAACAGATCCTGAATATTCTGTAGAAGATTATTTAAATGCAGTAGCAGCAAATTTATTTTTAAATGTAGGACCCGAACCAATTAATACGCCACTACATCAAAATTGGATACATAGACGCACAGCGTTAATACAAACAACACTAGATGGCGCAGCCAAAAATGGTTTTCAGTATTACCCATAGAAATAAAATCAGACTGGAAAAGATTCACACAAGAAATTTCAAAAACGTTTGATTCTAAAAGAAACAAACAACATCAAAGTACTCTATGCAACGGAATACGCAGATTACCAAATGAAACAATTAAACAATTAGCAGTACAAATCGAAACCCTAGTTCGAAAAGCATATTCACTTAATACACATGACTACAAAAACACAAAAATGACAGAAAATTTAATGATGACCTTAACACCTCAATTAAAGAAAATAGCTATAAAAAAGAGAGCATCTCATCCTTC